TTGACAGATACCGATAAAACAGTGACGGAGATAAGACAGTGTTCATCGTGGGACAGAAGCAGTATCGGTTTAAACGCATGCGATTTGGACTAGAAAATGCACCATTTACCTTCAGGCGACTGATAACGCTGTTGGTTAGAAACCTGAGGAATGTAGAGGTGTACGGTGATGATCTCGCCGTCTACAGTCAAAATGAAGACGACCATGTCGAAGCCAAGTTAAAACTCATTGAAGAGTTTGGACTGCGCATTAACGAAACCAAATCTCACATAGGCAAATAGAGTTGTATAGTAGATGCACGTCACTTTTTTTTGTAAAAAAACGCTTAATTGGTACATTTTCCTTCGACAAGGTTCTCAGCATTCTTGTTTTCTTTTCCAGGTGCAACAGGCACTGAACAGGAAACAAACGAAGCACGGGATCCAACGAACAACATCGAGGAGGCTATGTACAGACACCCTATTAGCATAGGCAGACAGACCAGCAGGCTCTCCATCAAGCCACTCGGAAGATTTTTTTCACCCATCAGGGAGCCATCGAGATTTTTTTACTTCCGGTTGGTCATGTCTTAGGGTCCTCACAAACCCACTAGGAGGGGAGTGAGCTGTAGCGGTAAATAATTCCCCAAAATTATTAACCACAGCAATCATCACTCAACATTGGCTGCTGACCATCACTGTTTAAGTCGACTTGTTTAGCTGAAGGCTTACGGTCAAGCATCCCCGCCATTTGGTGCTCCGTCGTGTCACATGCGTGCACGATTACTAGCTAGCTAAGCATTCACTTCTACACGCGATTTTGTCCCGAAATATAATACGTACTTTGGACGACAAAATCTGGTCTTTTGCTTTACCATTTGGTACTCGAAGAACGAACACTATAGAAGTTGTTGGTATAAGATCTTGCGTTAGTATAATCCGTACAATTCGCGAACGTCGATACCATCAACCTCTAAAGAGTGTTACGCTGTCGAGTCATAAATTAGGCAACTGAGAGATAAAACCGCTTCTGAAGAAAACCATGTCGATTAAGACTAATAAGGCCCCGAATCCCAAGAGGACGCTAAGGCAGTTCCTGGGGAGAGCAGCGTTTTATAGTTGATTTGTGAAAAATTTCAACGAGATAGTAGCTCCTGTACAAGCTTTTAAGTGAGTCGAAGTTTGTTCGGTCGGAAGATTACCAGAAGATATTTGACAGCACTAAACAGCTTTCGGGTCACCAGAAAATGGTGCTAAAACTGCCTGTACCCTGAATATAGTTCGCAGTGCGTACAGATGAGAGTGACTACGGCATTGATGCAGTACTTAGACAGACTGAAGGATTTGCCTAGTATGTCAATCGCGTTTTAACAAATACAGACCAGAGGTATTCAACGATGGAAACAGAATGTTTAGCAATAGTATGAACGGTAGACAAATGGTAACCGTATTCACTCGATCAGCGGTTCCACATCGAAACTGATCAAAAACCACTACGTGCGAAATTGTCGCGGTGTATGTTGCACCTGCAGGAGTTTGACTTCACGATCTACCGCGTCCCTGGCATGGACAATTTTACGGTAGACTTTTTATCTATAACGGAAGACGAAACTGAGTTACCGCAGATCGCTTACGGAGTGCATGCACTGGAAGAGAACCCATTAATACTTGAGCGCAGTCAGAAATCAGACCTACCCTGAATACAGTCATACAGGTGATCACTAACAGAGTCAACCTACGGCGACTAAGCAGCTGACTACGCTGCTCAAACAGAAAGGTCAACGGCGAGTGAACTCCAACGGAACTCTGACTCGGCGAGAGAACGATGGGAGTCGGTTGGCGGTTAGACCTCAGGTTCTGCGTCATGAGATTATTCAGTTTTATCACCAACTAGCGCATACAGGTGTAGCCACAACAAATGACCTCTTGGAACAAAGCATTACTTGCCAGGTATGAGTGATGTGGCGAAATATGTACTCGGATGTCCGCAGTACCAGTTGATGAAAGAAGATTGGTTCATGTGCCTCTGTAGTAAATTTCAGCAACTGCAGTAGGTGACTTGTGTGTAGATGTGATGAGTCTCTTTCTGCATAAATCCAGTGACAATCAGTACGATTTGTTGATGACGGAACACGCTAAGCGACAAGTAGATGCCGTCGCGATCCCTGATCAACGTGCGAAAACAGTGACTGATGCAGTAGTTTGACACGTCGTTGCAGACCATGGTGTACCAAAGACGATATTGACAAACACTTGTTTTGAATGCGAAAAATTCACTCTGCGGCTGCAATAGTTGGGTATCAAGAAGATCAGATCAACACCATATCATACGCAAACGAATGGTTCGACAGAGAGAAATAACCGTATAGTGAAGGAGTGGCTGGCTTCCAAGGGAGGCAACTGGGAGATAGAGCTTCCATTGATTCTACTATCACACCGTACATCGACCCAGGAAACAACAAAGAAGTTGCCATTTCAGTTGATGTATGGGAGGAAACCATGACTACCAATGCACAAACCAACCTGGCCCCTCTATCAGAAGTGGAACATGACGAGGTTGGGAACGGAAAGACGCCGTCAGGAATGTGAAGCGTAAACAGGAGAAAAACAGGGATGGAAGATTCGATGCAGAACATTTGAGGTGGGTGATCAAGTAAAGTGTACAGAAAGGAAGAATGCGGTTGAATGTGGGTCAGATTCACGGAAACTTCTCCTGAAGTAGGAAGGGCCATTTGCTGTCATCGAGAGACGTGGTCCCGTTTACACCATCAAAAGAGGATATAAACAGAAACGGGTAGACATCAGCTAACTGTAGAAATGGTTTCAGTGGTATAAGGATGCCTGGACCAAGTTACAACACAAAGGGGTAGAAGCAACAAGGTCGGAACGGGTCCGTTCGAAACTATATGATTGAAGGACGAGTGTGGGGAGTGCTACAGATAAGATATATCAGTAGTACATAAAGAGACGTTCGTCGGTATGAAAACACCAGATAGCAGCGAGATACACTTGATTTCAGAGAATGCAAATGATACAGCGTTGTGGAGATGCATGGGAGACGTGAAAGGAACACAAAGAAACACAACATGAAGTCCAGAAGTAGCACAATACGAAGGTCTGTGCAGATGGTGCGTTGAAGATAAGGTATACATAATTCGGCTATACAGAGATTCCAATTTCCTAATAAGCATTCCTTTATCAAGTCTTTCGTCTTCTACCGTTTCATCACTGACTGCTTATCATAGGGCTCTATCACTTTAAAATCGTAGCACACAAATGCTAAAATATTAGTCTAAACTGGTGTCGCTGAACTTGAGCCACATTACGTATGGTGCAGAATACATACGTTGTCCGAAACTAAGACTTCCCTACGTTGCTTTCTTTATATGAGAATAGAATAGTAACATCAAGTAACTGCCTGGTTGCCATTATTCCTATAGCTAATAGATGTGCCAAACTTCTCCATTTCTCAAATCAAATAATTACCTGACAACGTAATAAATGAACTGTTGGATGGAAATACACCACAGACTCGTATAGCATGAGGTTTTAGAGGCTGACGGTATTGACGTTCGCGAATTGTACAGAGTATACTAACGCAAGATCTAATACCAACAACTTCTATAGTATTCGTTTCTCGTGGACCAAAGGCAAAGCAAAAGACATTATTTGATCGTCTAAACTACGAGATATATTTCGGGACCAAATCGCAGACCGAGATGAATGCTTAACTGGCTAGTGATCGTGCACGAACGTGACATGAAAGAGTACCAAATGGAGCGGATGCTTGACCGGAAGCCTTCAGCTAAACAAGTTGACTTAAACAGTGAGGGTCAGTATCCAATGTTCAGTGATGAGTGCTGTGGTCAATAATTTTGGGGAATTATTTACCGCTACAAGGTCCTATGGATTAGTGGGCTTCACTTTAAGATGCCACCCTGCAAGAATTGTTTGTTTGTGTATCGTGTATTACTTCAATGTACTGATTTGTAAAATATATCGCATCAGAGGCCTCATGCTAAATTAGCAAGTGAACCTGTAGAAAAATTACTTTTACATCAATCTCTGATATCCATAAATGCATAAACCGAGACAAGGATTTAGACTATAACTTCCTGAGACAGTGTTGACGGTTTGCCAGTCTACATAGAGTTCACTAATAGTAATATTAGCTAAGCTAAATAGGCTAAACACAGGTCCTTAAATTGTTCTTGCAGCTTATTTTCCGGTGAACTGTCTTGGGGAAGCCAAACAGAACGTTATTTTTTCAACATCTACTCTATTCCATTCTGACGTCCGTCAAGTTAGATTCAAGGTTACGGTCAATATTATAAGATTAGGTAACGGTTCAGGATTCAGTACGATGTTTAGAGTTCAATATTTTAAGGCATTTGAAAGATCCCTACTCTTGTTAGACTCATTCTTATTTATTTTATAGTATTAAATATTTTTTTAAATAAATTATTATTCGGCTATTCCAATTAATTTGTCAGGGTCACAGAAGAAGTCGTTCGTCTTGGTTGCCTATCGTTACTGTTATCCACTTATCTGTGTTTCTAAGTTATACATTCTGTGTATATGCAGATTAATTCACTTCGCTCAAAAGCAGAATGTAAGAAAAAGTACTAGAATTCTTATACTTCAATCACTTCAGCTGAAAGGCAAAAATATACAAAGGGAACCAGAAAATTACCCAGACACAATTTAAACAAATCTAGATTTCTGATGAAAATATAACCGGCAAATTAACTGCAACGACGTATCAATTAAAACATTTGGTAAAGAATCTCTAAGTGATGGATACACTCGACTGTTTCAACAAATAAATTACGACATAAAAATGAAAAAGTCCCCCTCACCATATTTGTGTTGAGAAGTATCACAGATACGAAATCTAATAACGTGCTTCTCTACCTATTGTTATCAAGAGTGAACGCTAATGAAATCTGAGAAAAACACCAGAGTTATTCGTCATCTAAGGTTGAATTGATATAATATATTTCCTTAAAAAAGTTAAACAAAGGTGGAAAAATGAAAAGGGAGAAATAAAACATTGAGATTCCACAACCATATATATATATATATATATAGAGAGAGAGAGAGAGGGAGGGAGGGAGAGTAATACCTTTTACAGATTGCATATCACAGATAGGAATTACTATACAAAATGAGTTATAATAAAAAAGAGTATTCTTCTACAAAAAAAGTACGACATTCACCTCTGATTAAGATGCTGCATTTACGAAGAGATGCAAGCATGATGGTAGAATACAGTAGTAATACTGAGAATATGTTCAGCAAAGCATAGACCCAAATAAGATATTGATACAGATTCACAGGATAGAAGCTACTTTACTGATACAATCAGATCATTTTTAATACTGTTATTTTTGGATGGTGCAGTTTTTTTCTGACGTGAATAAATTCGCAAAAATAAACCAAAGAAAACCACAAATATGCCTACTATAGCCAAAGGATGTAATGCATGAGAAAATATAATACATGAAAGTATCATAGAGAAACCAAGTCTCAGTGTCATGATTAGGACAAATGAAGCTGGACCGAACTGTGATATGGTAAGAAAGATAAACAATTGACCAAATGCTGAACACAAAGATGACAATAAAACATCAAAATTAAATTCAAGATGTCTAAATCCAAATTGTACAGCATAAATAAGATCACCACTTCCAACTAATGATAAGAGGGTGAGTAGCACCGACCAAACGTTTACACCAGCCATGACCTGAAAATAATCAATAACATATTAAGCAAATGAAATTAATTATTCAAACGAAATAAAGACAAGAGAGATCACAGAAAATTATAAGTAACACGCGAAGACTAATGATGCATTACAAATAATTATTAAATGTTAGTTTGCAGGAATTCAGTTAGTTTCACGGATTTAACGATGAGTTGACATCATCTACAGACCCAGTGGGTAATGGAAACTTGTTTTGACCTAGTTTGGGACCCTTCATCAGTGAGGAACCCAACGTCTTTCGAACCCCAATAATTAATGTGATGCTCACTAGCGGTTGATTATATACGGGAAGTCACCTGGAGTTCAAGTGACGAATCTTAACTAGTGAGGTCCACTAAGTCCCTCACTTTTGACATTAGGTTGAACAGTTTACGAACTAGCCTTGTAACCGGAAGATCCTGGGGTTCAAACCGAGGTTGATGGGTTTGCTGAAGTGTCTTAAACTAAGATGAAACAGTTGTCTAGCAATTCCTGGTTTTCCAATGGTCTTCTAATTGCCAGCACGTGATTGAACCTATTACGCATTAATTTACATAAGCAGGTTATTAGATGAGGATAAAAATCCCACTTTGCATTAGGTCAATAAAGCATACGTTGTACATGTCTAGCGAATGCCTGTTGGTTGGAATAAGGCTTAGATTGGTAGACACAGAAATGAAACCAATCTGAATTGTGGAGAATAAGCTTCTTAATTTGAGAATACCAGATAATCAAGACTATAAAGCCAATGGAATATGGATTATATATTTAAAGGTGCTCAAAAATATCGTTAACCTCATATTCTCGTCTATGTGATTATACCACCACACTCCATTATTCTGTCTACAGTTTTCAAGTCTCACAGATTTATGCGTTACTTCTGACAGCTGCGGTCATTTCATTTTCTTTCTTCACTTTACCTTCTGTTTGATACTCAGACTAGAGATGAGGCTGATTTAACTTTCACATAGTAATGAAAACTTTATTTTTGGCAATGTATTTATACAGACTGTTGAAAAAAATTAACCTTTGGCTTTCAATGCTTATTATACTTTGTTAGCAGTTAACAGCAATCTGTAGGATAGAAAGTATTAAGTAGTAATGATTTAATCTAAGCCTTTTTTGACAAACATTATACCTATACGTATACAACGGAATAAACGTCTGTCCCATTAACTTTTATTAAAACAGAATTCTATTGGTGTTATATTAAGTGTATGTGCAACTAGTTACGAACTTTATGAATAGTTTGAAATAGCTGTAAATTCCTGTGAATGATTTTATTATACATAGGGTTGCTTTTTCTGTTAATTGATTGAACCGAAATGTTTGGCTTATGTTGACATCTTAGCTTCTAGTACGGATGCTTCGATGATGTTTGAGGAATGACATGATGTTATTTTGTAGGTGGCGAATAGCAATGAAAGCCAGGATATGCATTTTGACAAGCCAATGAGTCCCAAATAGGACCAAGTGAACATCCTGAACCATACTACTGCTAATCATCGAAAATTTCCACTGGTATTGATAGTGATTATTTTATTTATTTTGTTCCTATGCTTCAGCTTCGACGTTTCAGCAGTAGTGGTTTATTTTTTACAGCATGTGACTGCTAGTCCCACACCCAACCCTCCCTCTTTGCTGGACTTACCAGCCAGCTAGGCGAGATTTATGAGTGTGTTGGCCGGAGACCGAACCCCGGACCACATGCGCCACTGGTAAGCATTCTACCGCTGCACTACGGACACGTGGTATTGGTAATGAGTTATTATTAATTCACATACATAAATATGCCAATTTTTCATATTATTTTGTTCAGAAAAATTACATCGATTGAATTTACAACAACAACAACAACAAAAATTTATATTGCAAATATTGATTCCTCACTAGGCAGGACAAATCTCCTTTATACAGGTAATAATTGTTTTCAATCAAACAATAAGCTAACATAAGTGAATACCATTTTGTAATCTAAAATGTTCAACGAGTTTATTGATTGACTAACTAGAAAGTGAAAGTAGATAGACTACTTTAAAACATGAAAAAACCTAAGTGATATATATGTGTATATACACGTATGAAGAAAAGTAACAGCGTATTGTTCCAACATTTTACCAAAAACTGCTCAAATATTCTACAAACAAGTTTATTCCTCCCATGTTGTTGATCTTTCTTCAAAGACTTAGTTAAAAATTCTGATACTTTGATACTACAGAGGAAAATTTCTATAACTATGATTATTAAATAATGATAATAATATATATGAGCATCAGAATAAATCTGCGGCCAGATAGGATAGTTCTGTGAAATATATCCAGATACCTGGTACAAAATGAAGTGATCTGACATTATATACTGCTGACTTTTGAGTTGAATCGACTGCTCATAATCATTAAGACGAGCGCACAGGCATATATGTATATGTACATAACCCACTACAGTTATCTCTAACTTGCATGCACATAATAACAATGAATGCCAACAGATGCAAAGCGTAAGTTGGCCAGGAAGTCCTGCTGATTGTTTGATCACCCCCCTCGCCCACTTCAACATCCGATATCATTTAAAAAAAAGTTACGTGTATTGAACACAAGATATTTTCTGTTGGCATACTTTTTGTCCCTATAGACCTCTTCATCCATTAGGATCTTCATTGTAAGACAGGTGGTTAAGTCATCAATGCTGATTACTTTCCTAAAAGAACTAATTTTCTTTGACAGAATGTAGCGGGTATATGTAAGATTTCGATGTATTTGTAGGAAAAATACTTTTATTCATTGTTTGACAGATTCTTTCGGTGTGTAAAATTAATATATCTGTAGTGTTTATGTGGTGAGAGCTGGCTGCTAGCCAAAGTTGGTAGACAGTAATTGACGTCAATGTTTATGTGCCCAATATTGGTCGTGAGAAAATAAGAACAAAGGCTTTGCGTAGGCGTATACAGTTAGCATATGGACGATCTGACACAGCCACAAAGAGATGCAAGGTTAACTTTCTGTGAGAAACAACCAATCAAAAGACTTCATTTTCTACTAACAATAATCTACAATAATGTACATTAAAATCTATAAATATGTGTTGATTTTCTTTAATAAACGATATGTTGCCTGGCCCTTGTTTTCTGTTGTTACATTTATATTTCAATTTAGAGCATTTCGATGCAGTGACTTGGAAACTAGTGTCTGCATGATCCACGCAAGCATTATACAGATATGTAGTGTACAAAGAATAAGAAGGGTAGTTTCATTCCATAAATCCTCTCAAATTTACGAAAATTTATCGCTAAAAAAATGAACGACATAGACTTAACATAGTAAGTTCATGAAGAAGTTTATTAAAAGATACAACACAACATGGAAAAATGAGAAGAGTATTTTTGTCGTGATGAAAAACTCCAACAGTATTTGTTGAAATAAATTAACAAACAACTGACAGCTACTTGTTTTTAATGATCAAAAATGTTAACCACAATGCATGCTCCATTCTCTAACTTAGATTTTTTACACAGATTGATCTGCATTCCAGTGAAATATAGTTCATCCATAGATACTCGAACCATAAACATAAATTTAGTCACAAAGCTAATATACAATATGTCTATCAATTGTTTTTATCTGCTCACACACTTACTATACATGAATCATCTAACCTAGTTAATGAAGCTGATCCAGCTGTTAAACGTATTACTGTTCGCAAAATTGCTTCCACCTTCCTAGACTGTACTAATAAATTAACACACACTTGAAATAAACATCAACTGACGGTTGAAACATAAAAGAGGTAGTTTTATATATCGATCTTCAAAACCCTTAATTAAAGTTTGTTTTTTTATCAGGCTTAAGGCCTTTATACAGTCAGAGAAGAATATTAAAACTTCTCATAAAATCATTCATAAAATAACAGAAATACTTGCGTAGTACCATGTCTATGGAACAAAGAAGTGTCGGTAAACTAATGAAAATAGTATTGAGAATGATAATACTGGAGATAAGATTTCTCTCTCTTTGTACATATATATATATATATATATATATATATATATATATATATAGCATGTGCAACTGATAAGATTTATCAGTAGTATATAAAGAGATGTCCATCGGCATAAAAATATCAAATAGTGGAGAGATAGATTTAACGTCAATGAGAGCATATAATTCAGCGTTGCGGCAAAATATGAGAGGCACGAAAAGAAGACAAAGAAACACAATACGAAGAGCAGAAGTAACACAACACGGAAGATCTGTGCACATGACGATTTCCAGGTAAGGTATATATAATTTCGCTATACAGAGATACTAAATTCCAAATAAACATTCCTTTACCAGGTCTCTTGTCCTCTGCCGTTACATATATATACATATATATATATATATACTAGTATAGATCTGTCAACAAGGTGCTAACTGTAGAGTTACTGATAAATACATTGAAGGCACACTAGAAGATCTATCATGATAGATGGAACGCTACTGCACACATCTGAACGATCTACAAACTGAAATTTCACAGGCCTCTGTTATTACAGGCATTTGTTTAGTTGCCTGCTGAATACAGTAAAGGGGATTTCATAGAGTAAATGTCACGTTTATATCAATAAAAACCACTATAAACGTAAAAAGAAGGATTCATGAATATTGTTAGTCGGGAAATTTTGACCTGGTTACTGATTTATGCATCTTTTGAGTTGTGATTCGCATAAACATGAGTTTAGGCATAGTTCTCTTGCTAAGCTTACTATTTAATATAGTAAGTCAGTGTAAATTACTGGGAAAATAACAACACTAAAAAAGTCTTTTCACAATAATCGGAGAAAGCGAAACTACCACAAACGATTAAGATTTTTCAACTGTAATCAAAACTCAGCATAGTCATCAAAAATGAAGACTGACATATCGACATCTTAATTTATCTAACTAGATAAATCTTCGATTGTCGTTGGCTATTTATTCAAAGCCTACTAATATATTTAGACATTGAATAATTGTGGATTTGATTAATTTTTCAGTAGACTTTCGTCATGAAATGAAATAAGTTAAGAAACATTAAAAAAATAATATCCTGGACAATCGTCTCAAAGGGTCATCCCTCGGACGATCCGTTTACGAGACGAGTATGCTTCCTTTCCATCAGTTAGTTGGAATCCGATAACCAGTAAATTTCAACTTCCATCGCATTCACAATGGAACACCGCATGTATTTAGTTATATAAGTGATTAGAGGTGGTTACATGATACTTGATTTGAGTGTATTTACTTTGCTGAACTCAAATTAATCACCAGTTGTAGTGTTTTTCAACTTTTCATCAGAAAACAATCGGTTGAATATAACTTGCAAATGAACAGTAGTTAGTCTATTAGAGCCCATAAAATTATTATTTATTTATATATTGCTATTCCCTTGGCTTCCGAGTGGAACGTAGGGCTTCAGTAGCCCATCACCATTTCACTCTGCTCTCTGCAGTCCTTTTTTTTAACTGGCTTTACGGACGCCAATAAGCTTTCATCTTCTCCTTGAACGATTTTCTCTATATCATCCTCGGAGACATATCCCCAACTCATCGTTTCGCACTTGAGTTCCACTCGAGAGTCTTCTCAACGGTCTCTTCAGCCTGTACCCAACCTATCTCCATTTCCTTCGATATATTGATTGGTGTTTTCCATTGTTAGTTAGGTATCTTCATCACCTCCATCTTCTCTATGTTCACTTGAAGTCTTCACCGCATCTTCTGCCAACTTCTTGGTTTTCGAGTTTGTGTTACATTAAATATAAGTAATCCACGAAGTTCAGATCTTTCAGTGTCTTCTCATCAGTCTAGAGCATACTCGTCTTCTCTCCCTCCCCCCCAAATGTCTACTGCATGATCCAGTCCACCGCAATCAGGAATATAATCGGTGGTGCTTCTCGGCTCCCTGAGCCAAGATCATGTGTAGTATCTGTTCTTTGCTGTGTGTGTGCGTGTGTGTACTTTATATCCTATTAACAGTAAAAACAATGAAGTACACAAAAGGACACTTCCCCAATTGTTTTTCTACATATCGAGGAGACGTTAAATGCAAAAGAATCAGATGATGTATATATTAAGGTGAAACAACAGAGGTAAGTTTGATTTCTACGCTGATGTTACATACATACTCGTTATGTTTTACCACATTTCGACATTTAACGACAAATGATTTTAGCTTAGTTACTGAGATATCATAGGAAGTAATATGAAATCTTTCATACAAATATTGATAGTTATCAACACGTTTTATATAATATCTAACAGTTGAAAAGATGTGCATATGTGTGTACATGAGTGTCAAACTTGTGAATAACAATAAGGAAAGGTAGTTAGTGTAAGAAATCAGACCTGTCAATGACAATATACTGTTCTACTCTTAGTTAAGCCTCGTAAGATAGATAAATAGACAAATTATCGATTTAATCAATCTTAAATTGTACACTGTTGAAAGCAGACGTTGAAAAACTAATATTATCATCAACCAAGTGTGTAAAGTGAAACTTATTCTTTAGTGAATCAACAAGTCTTTTAAAACAGTCAATTGTAATAAAAATGATTATTTAAACAACTGTTCACTATAGATAGAATAATAAAATAATGAATCAATCTTCAAAATCTTTTCTGAAGTTTTCCATTCTTAGGTGACTCGAATGAACAATAGTATTATTAACGATTAGATCCACTGAGGATGGATAGATTTCAGCCTGCTTCTCGAAATGCTCGCATAAGGCCATGCAACCATAACCCCTGCCAAATAAGTCCTATGCATGCAATTGGGGTTATTCTTCACAAAAGTGAAAGGCTGAATGTAAACATCTGGCGCCTACAATTGGACTGATCTACCTAGGGAAGCTGGAAAACCCTGAATCCAAACCTATAGTGTACACAAGCTCTAGAATCCGAAAAGATCGAATGGCATATGAACTTGTTTTGATTACCTGCAACCATGGAAACGCAGCTCGTGATGCTGACTTGTGAATCAGGTTTCAAGTGAAAAACTTAAGCAGTGGCTCCTTTAGATGACCAACTGTGTAGGTCTAGGCGTCCGGATAGTATTCAAGCCCATGCACAAACTATGAGATGCTCACTAGCGACTTGCCCTATTCAAGTAGGTAGTTACCTGGGGTTCTAGTGAGAAGTCGTGACCAGTAGGGTGCAGCAGGTCGGGTGTGAGGACAAATACTCGCCGAAGACATTGACTAGGGGTCACGCTATGTCATGAAGAAGTTTAAATTCATGGGCCATTGGATCGGGTCCCAGTGGCTTAATGCGAGCTCGCATTGTAACCAGAAGTTCCTGAGTTCGAACCCCGGTGGGTTTGTACTGCTGAAGAGTCCCAAACTAGGACGAAACAGCTGTCCAGTACTCCCTTTAGGTTTTCCAATGGTTCTCTAACTAATGTCAGCTCATGATGAAAATCCTGTAACCAATGAAATCCCTACAAACCAACACCTGAAAACCAACACTTGAATATGAGATTTTATGTGGCATATCTCTTGCTCTCCACAGTGTGCCAAGCTTTTCTTTTCATAATAATAATAATAGTAGTAACTATAGTGTATTGCGCCAATCAGCGTTCAGAACTACCAAATGTTTATCAAGCAAAATGCTATGTTTTCTAAATTTTTATATAATCATAAACATAGTTGAGGTGACAAAAACAAACAAATATGCATAAAATCATAGTAAGTAATCTCTTTCCACCATAAGCAGACATAAATACATCAAAATGATATATATATTAAAAAAAGAATATGACCTTGAAACATCATATTTAACTAACCTGTAACGAGGTAAGTTTATAGTTTTGAAATAAATAGTCTTGCCAATTAGAAGTAAAAGAATCACATAGAATATAACCAAAAATTAGTATATAACCACTAAGTGATAATAGAAATCTAGTATCTGCCTCCTTTCTTGACTGATAATCTTGTTCAGGATCAGTGTAGAAAAACATAATCATGCCTAAGCATATAATACCTGAAAATCAAAAAAGAAATGATTGAATAAATGAACTTAAAACATCACAATATGATAATTAAAAAAAAAATAATAGTAATAATAATAACAGCATTAATCTAGACGACAATATGTTAACACACATAAGTCCAGAATTTTCAGCCTATTTAAACTGCAAAATATCTACCCTTGATACAGGATCTTAAAACAGAAAGAATAGTATTCAGCAGTGTAACGACAGAAGACAAGGGCCAGGCAGCAGATCGATTATTGAGAAAAACAAGAGATATTTATAGATTTTCGTGTACATTATTGTCAGCTGAAAAGCAACGTCTTCTGATTGGTTGTTGTTTTCTTGCTTAAGGTTATTCTCTACTGCCTGTGACTGTTTCTTAGAAAGTTAAGCCATATATCTGCGAATCCTAGTTGCACACGTTAAGTCTGCTGTGATTGGTTGGTGAGTTCTTCAAGGTTAAGCTTTGTTATTGTTTTTCTCATGATCCCGATTCGGAACGTAACATTGACGTAAACTGCTGTCTACAATTATGGCTAGCAGCCAGCTCTCACCATAGCAGTACATTGAGTGATGCTGTGTAATCCTATCTAAGGCTTTTTCCAGTCATTTCATTTGAGAAGTGCTCTGCATTAACACTGACAGCAAGTTGAAAATATGCGCAAGTTTATGTAGTGATCCAAAAAAATAATAATTAGATGATTAAAACAATAGGAAATGGAGAAGAATTTATGCATTATACTGGATGAAAGTTTTGGTAGGCCAGTAATTTAACCAGGCTGCGACTGTGGTATACTAGCGCTTATGGATAAAACGGAAATAGTAAAACAGAGTTTTACTGTGGTAAAAAGTTAAGTTTCTTATAATACGTTTCATATATGTTACATTTATCGGTAATGGAAGTTTGTTCATTCAATTGCATATATCAACTTCATAGAGCAAAACGTGTTTAAGCAATATGATAATAATGATAGTAACAATATCAACGGAAAAAACAAGAAAGAAAAAAATTGTATAGGCCCTAATTCCATGTTAGTTTGTTTATTAAATATATCACACGAAGTGAAATAGTATCATTTACTGGATTACATTGTGAACAAAATTTACTGTTCATAGCCATATCAAATGCAATGACATAACTTTGAAATTCGGTTTTCATGGTTGGAAAATAAGACCTAGCGGTATCCATGATATGATTTGAAATCAAGTGCACAATGCACAAGTGCTTTCACAACTTTTCCACCACTGAATTTCGAAATACCTTTCTACTATATTATCTCTGGTTTCCGTACCATTCTTTTTCTTTTGACCCTCTTGTTATGTATAATCTGCTTACTTGAAGTGTAGCGTTTTGAATTACTTCAAGACCTTAGATTTCCTTGCGTCTGATGGAAACATTGTGTAAGTAATTCTGAGGTCCGGTAGAGTGTGTTTGGACACGGCGGGGGTCACCTTTCATCGACTGTGAAAATCTTAGAACACCGGCTTCAGTGGCTTGGACATGTGTTGCGAATGTCATCCAAGACACTCAAACCGCCGGCTGTTCGCTAGGCCTGGGGCAGGATAGAAAAAGTGGAGAGGTGGTCGGCCTATAACACGGTATCGTGGGATTAAGGATTACTACGTCAACTCAGCATCCGCTTATACACCACGACTTCCTGGGTGGGGTCCGAGAGATAATTTGAGGCCGTAACTCGAGACGTTATCATACATAACCGGGAATCGTATGCGGTGACCAAAATGCAGCAATTTTCTTTTTTCTTCCCTTTCTGAAAGTAGCATGACGTGATATATGATCTCGACAAGAATGCTTACTTGATTTACGGATGATCTCCCTCATTCATTATATCCCTATTTTCCCCATATACTGTTTTACTACTTTTGTGTGGCACATCTATTGTCCATAATGTAACAATTCTGTGTATTTCACAGTAGTAATAATGATGACGATAAGGACCTTATGTATACTTGTTCTCAAATCATGGCATTAAATTTGAAATGACTGCAACAGGAATTTTCTTTGTTCTTGAAAACCTTTTGGTTACCCACTATATCATACATTAAATAAGGCATGAACTACACAAGTCAATACTATATACCCTTAAATATCAGTTAAAAGACAAATACTTACCAGCCGTAAGGTATTCACTTCCCTTATATACTCTTCTCTGAATGAATTTTCCCATAAACATAACTGGTAAAACTTTACAGGCCTTAAGAATTACCTGAAATATAAATAAAAGAATATATAGTGTAAGAGAAAAATACTCTAGAAGAGGACTGCAGTATGTTCAACAAACATGAAAACGATGTCCACTTGTCTTAAAACATATACAGTAGAAGGATGCTCTTAACGATGACAAAACATAGAGCCTTCTGGAAACATGAGCACACATTCCAGTGTGGTTGTCATATTCCTACAGGAATGGTCTGCACCGAGTCCGAATTCATAGACAGCCAGTGAAATACCAGAATGTATTGAACACTTTATTGTTTCGGAAACCAAAATTTCACTACTAAATCGAAAGCCTAGTTCTGCATCTGTAAGCTCATATCGGCTTCGATGCACACATGATAATTAGTTACCCATTTAAACAGTGTGTAGCGTGCAGTTGTTCCCCACATCCCACTGTATGGCTGTGAGAAGTGGCTGCCCGAAGTAAAAGGTGAAAAGAGATTAGATGTTTCCATGACAGGTAGCTTAGTTGAGTTGCTTGTGTTAAGTAGAGCATCATGATAGGTAATAGTGGAATGAGGCGTAGACGGAGTCGATGAGGTTGTGAGGCTTTTTTGATTATGGTGTCTTGCATATATTTTACGAATGACAGTCTTCCTTCCTACCTTCCTCTATGTAAAATACTCTCTGAAGTAGGGTTAGTTCGGACAGCGTTCGATGTGGTTAGACCGAAACATGGTACCTAACTGTGAAGTTGTTCACTTCTGATCTAGATCAAGTAATGTAGCTTGGATTGGCTCGTTGGAGTTCTCAGGACGCTAAAAATCGACAGTTAGATAGTCTTTCGCATATGACAATGAAATCCTTTTCAATGGTGCACATATATCCACTGCACATCCACTTTACAGATTCTCATAAACTACTCTCCAGTAACATCCATATTCATCGACGCAGACCATATTATGATTTCGTTCCCTTATTTTGTTTTCTGTGTGAAGTGTAGCAAATTCCGTGGGTATACTTTTGTTTAAATTTCTTCAGTAATTTCTCATTCAGTCAGAGATCTGACCAGAAGTGGATAATAAAAATCAGTGACTCACCACTCCAGATATATGCAACAAGAAAAGCTACACAAATTCAGAGTCTGTTTACTTAAACTTAAGTGTTTTCATTATCATCGAAATTTTACTAAACATCTACTGTCTAAGTTGTCTTAACTCCTTGATAGCTCATTTTACTGGTTCTTCTGTTATTTTGTCAATGCCAATTTATTTGTATCATATGCAGTAAACAGACATTCGACGAATAATGTTACATTAAATCCCGAAGATAAGCACTCTGACATCAGTATTATCTTTTACCATGAAGTATGCAATTTATGAGGGAATTAACATCTTAGTGTTACGGCATTTGTTATAACTTATTCGAAATTCAATACTCTGAAGACGATTGCAGTTCTTTGCATATCTTGACAACGAGTATTTTCACACTTAAAAGACCTGTAAGCTTTCGATTTGTATCAAGATTTGAAATGGCAGTTATTTCCATACATCATTGGTTTCAGTAAAAAAAAAAGCTACACCGCTTAGATTATAACCAGTGTCAATTGCTGTTATGTAAGTGATATATAGACCTAATTTTCTACATGTCTGTTAGTATTTCTCTCACCCACCTTTTTATTTTCTTCACGTTCCACAGTGGAACATAGGGCTTCAAGCTAGTGGCTTGAAGTTTCTGTAGCAGTGCTTATTTTACAGGATGGGGTTGCTAGCCTCATGCCCAACCTTTCCACTTCACCAGCATTATTTTTGACTTAGCGAGGTAAAGGAGTGCGTCGGCCGGGGATCGAACCCCGGGCCATGTGCATGGTCGGTGAGCGTCCTAACCGCTATGCCCCCCCCCACCTACACCTTTTGAAACCCTATTGGCTGTTGACTGTTGTAATTTATCAGTGTGATTAGTGTCTCTCAGGGTCATTTAAAGTGTATATGTACGCAAACGCTGTCAGTCATTTTCGCTGTTGATACGAGACAGTAAATGCTCACCGCGTCAACACTCAGCCTTCTGTTATTGTCTTCTTGCGTCGGGGTTTCAGTGGTATCGTTTGCGTTAAGGTCGGCGTTGTTGTTGCTAATATTGGTTAGAACAACAGGCTCGCAAATCTACTAGGTATGAAATTCGTTAGCGCAACTACAAGTGTATTAACCGTCATATCAAAATTGCCTACGTGTACATATCTGCAAGATATACCTAGGTCGAACATAAGATTAATTAACATAGAGAGAGAGATTATGAACGAATGACAGTATTATTGGCATATTACAATAAATTTGGGTCAAAGGTAAAGAAATAACCTTACCACTAATTCATAGAAATACGTGTTTAATCGGGTGGTTCTATTTTGAATATAAATAATTTTCACGTCAATATTATGCATTCAGGTCTAATGGAAAAATAAATACCCAGCCTCAAATATTCTTCTTCTGATTAACCCATTAGCGTCATTTATTGTTGAACGAACTACTACTATTTATGTGAAAGGTGAATGCATAGGTCTACATCAGCGCAAGCTGTATCGGTATATTCCACCAATATTCACGAACCACTGCTTTTTAGTATCTTAAGAGGAATAACCAAGCAGCCTATACTTTCATATATGACTCAGACCAAAATAAAACTTTGTTGATTGGTGGCATATTATGATCTGACCAGTCATTGCTTTTTGCAACCTTAACAGAATGATCAAAATTTAAATCAGCATTTAACTTCATCCACTGCTGGGGTGGAAGCTTTTTTGTGATCCAAATCAAATTTATGTCTCTATGATAGAAAACTAGTTAGACTGAGTAATTTTGTGCCTCATACTACAAGAGCAATAAGCAACCTTTCCATTGGTTTAACCCAATCTTGCAAGATGGTATCTATACGCTACTGAATGATTTGGGAAATCAGCGATCCACAAAACAACAGACGACTACCTAACTTTTTTCAAGCACACATAAGCGGTATACACGGATGAATAAAAGTTCAGACTCCCGATCCAGTTTAGACTAATGTTATCAGGGTTAGCTGCCAGAGATGGATAAGCAATACATAAACTTGAATTCGTTATTTTTATGCTATACAGTTCGAGGTGACAATTTACCACGGTTTACTTTTGAAGGGTAGAACATTCACATCAAAAAATGTGTTTGATACTACAGATAACAAACCAGAAAAAGCAAGTAAAATAGCAAGATGGTATATACGAATGACTTATATAAGTATTTGAAATCCATTCACCTGGCTAGTAAGTACTACAAATTGACGTGAGTGGTTGGAAACCATTTGAATCAATCAACAGTTCAAGTCGCTTTTATTATCTTATTTATTATTCCCTTGGGTTCCGAGTGGAACATAAAGCTTTAACAGCAGAACTCCATTTTGTCCCGTTTTCTGTAGTCCTCTTTAGCTGGTTCCACGATTGCCCATAAGTCCCCGTCTCCTCCTGACACGATCCCCTTCAAATCACCCTCAGAGGCCCAACTCGTCGTTTCTAATTCGGGTCCCACTCGCGGGGCTGGCTTGCGATGTCACACAATGGTCTGCTCAACGTGAGTCCGATCCATCTCCATTTTCTTCGGCATATTTGTTGAGCAATAGGTTCTTTGCTCTATTATGCATAAAACTTATTTTGATAAAGCCTCATAGTGTAATAGAGTAATATTTACTGACGACGTTTCGAGCACAATTTATTGCTCATAATCATATCAAGTTACTCATACTACTTCCCAACTTCGTTTATATGTTTCCACTATTTCTCCTTTCTTGATTTGATTGGTAGTAATATTTCCCATATTTTTGGTATTAGTGATGAGTCATTCCTATTGCACGCGTTGGGTGTAGATTCTATGAACATAGATTCAGTAATCAACCCCTCTTTTCACCTACACTGTGAGACTTTATCAAAATAAATTTTACCCATAATGGAATTACATCAAATTTGTTTGTTGGTTCGTCCCCAGAGTTTCTGGCTTTTACTCTTTTCCAGCCACCTGTGGTTGATAAGTGGAAGCGTTTTGGGCCCATAACACAGAGGACCATGGGGTCGTAACCACGCTGTGCTACCGAACTTCTGGACGGTCCTAAGCCAGAGAAAAGAGGGAAGCTTGGGCGTAAGACTAGCGACCTTATCCCGGGAATTCAATCCAATCGCTACAGGAACTTCAAAACACATGAAAACTCGCTTTTATATACCATTTTAATGAATTAAAGTAAGTGATTGGAATTTTTTAAGTTTCAGAAGGAAACTGTAGTGAATTCTATCTCAAAACTGTGCATCTTCGAAATAAGAGACTTTATACTGTACATATATATAATGTAAACTGAATTATTTATGATTTTAAACATCAACTTATTGATAGTATTCACATTTAAAACGAGTAGTTAAGTACATTAGGTAATACAACTTAATATCGTATATATGCATATGCTGACATGCATTCTATATTTTTAAATATACACACAGTCAAAGAATAACATATCTTCAACTACAATCATAGGTCTTGTTTGACATGATAGTCTTACTAAATCACAATTTGTAATAACAAATAAATACACTTTAAGGAAACTTGAATAATTAAAACAACATACCTAACTAAAATTATGCTCACTATAACATTATATATATATGCTGCTACTAATACAAACATAAAGGAGATCAACAGCACTCCTCAGCATGAAAAATAAGATCCGTATTTTCAACTCCAATGTGAAGTCAGTGCTACTATGTGAATCAAAGACTTGGTGCGTCACGAAGGGCACTTCGAACAAACTACAGACTTTTACCAACAACTGTCTTCGCTCAATACGCAAGACCAGATGGCTGACCAGAAAAGATCAGCAACAGGGATCTCTGGGAGCGAATCAACCCAGCAGGAACCAATTGTGCAACAAATATGCAGGAATAAATGGAGATTGGTTGGCCATACTCTGAGAAAAACCTCAAGTGACATCACACGCCAGGCTCTCTCTCTCGAGTGGAACCCGAAGGGGAAGCGGTAAGTCGGTCGTCAGCGGAAGGGTCACATGGAGGAGGTCATGCGAAGAGGAGATGAAAACATGTGGGCAGACGTGAAGCCAGGTTAAAACGTTGGCGGAGAAGCGAACGGAATGGAGACGTGAGGCTGAAGCCCTACGTTCCTCTAGGAACTAAAGGAAACAGTAACAATATACCCCAGATATAAAGTTTTCATGTAGTAGTAACTACGCACTAAAGTTTTGTAGGTGAAATAAAATCATTTAGTAATAAGCAATGTTAAAGTGTGAAAGCTTAGTATAATTTTGACTGGTTAGACAATCAATATTTTTTTCTTATACAGGTCAGTAATACTGAATAGCGCTGTGATAATATGAATATTTAGATTATGGGATTAATAGGGATTTAGCTTAATTTGAATAAAGATTTCGTTACAAACCAATATCAGTGTTGGGGATTACTGCAAAGCCAAGGAGCACTGGATAGCAGTCTCGTCTTAGTTTAGGTCTGTTCAAATGTGCATACTCACGACCCCACCACGGAGTCACTGGATTACGGCCTAACTGGTTGAATGGTCAGTGAGCTTGGTATCGTAACCTAGAGGTCCCGGGTTCCATCCATGGTGATGTTAACTTTTTGGTCACAACTAACATTTTGTCTACACCTTTTCATCAGATTTTTAATCTCAAGTTACATCAATTAATTAAATCTACCTAGTTCGACTTTGAACACATACAAACGGGCAACAATAGATGACACAGGCAAATGTACTGTTATTTTACTATTATGATAGTAGACATTTTCCTGGAGGATAAGAAATGTTGAGATGAGCTATGATTATATAATGTTAAAAGCTTCAAAGCAAACAGAAAGGCTTTGTCAACGCGATAAAGAAATTATTATTATTCCCTTGGGTACCGAGTGGAACATAGGGCTTCAACAACACATCCACTTCGTTCTGTTTTCTGCTCTCCACTTCAGCTGGATCCACGATTACCCATAACCTCTCGGCTCCTCCTCGCATAATCTCCTCTGTGTCACCCTAGGACGACCCGCTTGTCGTTTCCAATTCGGGTTCCATTCGAGTGATGGCCAGGAGCGCGGTGTCATTCGATGGTCTCCTCAGCGTATGCCCAATCCATCTTCATGTTCTTCTGCATATTTGCTGAACGATAGGTCCTTGGTCATTTCTTCCCATAGTTTCTTGTTGCTGATTCTTTCTGACCATTTGATCTTCAATAAAGAGCCAGCGAAGAAAGCTGTTGATAAAAGTCTACAGTGGCCTGTTGGAAATGCTTCTTGTGACACCGGCGCCAAGTTTCTGACCCATATAGAAGAACTGATTGAATTCACATTTGTATTGAAAATCCGAATCTTGTTCTTTATACTGATCACAGATTTCCGCACTGATTTCAGGTTGATGAAGGCGTATCTTGCCTTTCTGATTCTGACCAGCTTTGACATCGTCATCCGTCCCCCCCTCCATTGGTTGAAACGATGCTTCCTAGATTAGCGAAGAAAGTAACCCCAGTATATTCTCCCATTCATGGTGATTGTTACTGATTGTTGTTGTTGCGGTTCGTAGGTTAGCTTCATAACCTCCGTCTTCTCTGTGTTCACCTGCAGTTTAGTCCTCGCTACCAGCCTATTCTGCCAGTTTGTTGATTTTCGCCTGCAAGTCATCGAGTTTGTGTGACATTAAACATAAATCATCCATGCGCGAAATCCACATCTTCTAGAGTCTCCTGATCGGTAAGTGCAGTGCATTTCTGTCTTTTCACTCCCTGTGCATAGTCTGATGCATAATCCAGTCTACCACAAATAAGGATATCATGCGTGATAACAGGCAGTATTGTCTACCTTACTCCTGTATTCACTTCGAACACCTCGGTAAGTTTTCCATTGTGGATCACCTAACACGTGGCATTGTCATTTAACCAACTGTTGAATGAAGTTGATAAAGATTTGGGACACTGCACCCTATAGTATTGAAGCAGTTTCCGAATTACTTCTCAGTCAACACTGTTGAAAGCCCTTTCGAAGTCAATGAAGTAGAGGTATAGGTCTGACTGCCTTTCTATGCTCTGTTCCGTGATGATGATGACTAGACTCGAAATTTGACCACCACATGATTCGCCTATCCTGAATTCAGCTTGTTCTGGGAGATGGGGCGGAATTCTGAATCCAATGCATCTTTTATTATCTCTAGGATAATACGACTTCGTATTTTACTTGGTGAGATTAAAAGCATAATTCCTCATCGTTTCTCGCAGAGGCCTAAGTCGCTCTTCTCTGGCAGCTTGACAAGGTAGCCAGCCTTTCTCTAAATCGGTAGGCACCTTTCCTTCTATATTACAATAAGGACTTAACAACATTCCTACTTTTTTTTCTACGAGGAATGCTTGTTAACAAAGGAAAAAAGTACATCAAGGCTAACTTACTTGAGTCGGAAATGAAATATACATCAGTGCTTCATATTGACACCAGCTGCTAATCACATTGCTAACAGAAGCATATGCGTATTGAATAAAAGGTGCTTTACGACCTTGCTGCCAAGGGTTAACAATAAGTCCCAAATTAAAACAGTGTAAAGGTAATAAGATGATCAGCGCTGTTAAACGATTACAAAAGACGAGGTATTGTGATTTTTCAAACTTTTCGTTGTCATACACTTTAGTCATGATTCGCTCCTGTAAAACAAAGAAATAAACATAACTTAAAACAAAGAAAATACAATTAGTGTTGACATAAATAATATGATACTTTAACATCAAAACATGTACGAAAAGATAATGATATTGTAGGGGACCAAAGAAGTTCATCTATCCTATTGAATCTTAGCCATTTCGTTTTCAAAGGTCAATTTTTTATCTGTGCTGACTAGATCAGATTGAGGACTATTTGGTTTTCAAGGAACAAAAGCACAGGCGAGCATTGTTGTGTGATTGTGTACCTACTTACTCCCCCATACCATTGTTAATAAATACGTCCGTGAACAGGCGTAAGGGTTATATTCTCCATTCTCTAGTTGGGGCGGTGTTGAGAGCAGTTTGGCCACCAGATTACGTGGGCCAAGCTAAAGATTCAGCAGGTAGTGTGACCAAAGCTCAGCTCTAGCAGGATGGCTGACCACAGAACAATCTTGAACATTATTTCTAGTTGAAGGTGACCAGAAACGAGATCGAATTCGTTTCAGCAGAGTAACTAACTGGTTTTCTAAAATATATTGCCAATCAATAAAGATCGTTAAACTTTAAGTTTGTAGTTTTGTTGGAAAGTTGGCGAAACAAAGTAATGTACAACGACAGAAGTGTCACTTGTCCTAAAAGCACAACTACACAGGAACCAACAGATAAAAACAACATGGAATAAAACACTCAACATTTCAACAAAGCTGGAAGATGAGTTTGGCATACGAAGGTATAAAACAGTATCAATGAAATAGCATTGAGTTACAACTCAACAAAATATTAAGTTTTGTTAAGTATTTGGACAGCAGACATTCAACAAAACAATCAGAATTACACCAAGAAAATATATCTGGAACTTAATAAATGAAAGGGAAAACCGTAGTTAAAAGTGAGTCGCCCCCTTCGAACCATCGGCAAACAAGGCACAACAATCCACAAGAAAAGAATGATGCATAAGATGACTGAACGTTAAGACAACATTAGTATTTACGGGGTTTTACACGATGATCGATTAAGGAATGAATTTATGGCAGGAGGGATTCGGGAATTCTATACAGGTTTTAAAATTGATGGACAATGTATATTTAAAAAATGACTTTACAGTAAATCTATGCTGAAGATCTAAGAAACAACGACATTTTCAAACACTGAACTATTATGGGTATCGTATAAGCCCAGGTAACCGGAGTAAGTAAATTGTAACTCAACGTGTTTTGTCCACTATTTAACACAAGAATCTCCTTATTATATTTATAATGATTGACTACTCCTATTACGGTATTGTGTATATGTCCACTTCTGTTTTGCATTCGTAGTGAATACGCAACGCAATACAAATAATTCCGCAGAATACGAATTTCTGACTTTTTTCCTCTCTGTATAGTTGTCTGGTTTACTGGTATTCAGTCATTGAAGATTATAATTAAATATAGAGATTAAACTATTGTTCCAAAAGCAAAAAGTATACCGAATACGAGGTAATTATCAATGATTAGAAAAAATATATATTTCACTGAACCAATAGCCTAGTTGGTAAGATATTGCTCGTAAAGCAGAATTTATTGATCTGGACCCAATCATAAAACCAAGCCGTCTTTCCAACTATAACTATAGTTATTGAGTTTATTTAATATGAAAGTAAGTGGTTGATAAAATTAGACATTACCTGCAATAACCCCCATAACAAATAAGAGAATTGCAGACCAATAAAACAAAATGCCAACAGGGTATAGTATTGTTTTGTAGTCCTCAATGATGGACTACAGTCTAGACCGAAATAGGATTGTATACAATTTATACATTTAAACAATTTTGAATGTGATCCCGAACGAGTAGTGGACACAGTTACAGGAACTGGTAAATCAACATTTTCTGAAGCATTAACATCAGGTACAAAACAGATGTATATCGCTTTTGCACAACACGATTTAGTAGTACCTAAGTAAGATGCAGAAATTTTAAAAATGAAATAGCGATAACCCATACACGGATATAAAATTTCATTACGGCGTAAAAAAAACATTTAAACTTTTATGTCATAATTCACTTCATTCGTCCATGGATTTAGATTGTGAATTCAGTGTAGTTACAGGTCATTCTTAACTGGTTTAAACTTCATTCACTTGAAAGGACAACAGTAGGTAAATATTTAATTAAATGACACGTCAGTTCAACTATAATTCGAAAAAGATAATACTAATAATATAAGGATTGTTTTCAGTGAATGGGTTAAAGATCCAGTTTGCGTTCCATCTACTTCACGTTAGATGACTTGCCAACATTGAAAGTTTTCACAAAGTACACGAAAACCTACCAAGAGTAACTGAGTTGCACTGCAGGTATACGCAAGTGATCCAGAGAAAAGACTCTTTCCAAAGAATTCCGTTCGAACTCTGGTCGAAGCAGGTTTTTGTTCTACTCAGCCTATCTACGCACATCATACTATATTCTTGATGAGACGACAGGTGTGATTACCAGAAGTGCAGAATCGCTCTACGCGTCAGCTACATCCACATCTGTTGTGATGCATCAGAGGTTCAGTGGTAGAATGCTAGTCAGTCACGGACATTGGCTTCGCTGAGTTTTCGTTGTGGATCACTTGACAGTTGGCAATGTCATATAGCCAACTGTTGAATGAGATTGATAAAGATTTCGGACACTGCACCCCATAGTGTTGAAGTAGTTTCCAAATTACTTATCGGTCAACGCTGTTTGTCGAAGGCCTTTGCGAAGTCGATGAAGTTGAGGTAGAGGTTTGACTGTCATTCTATGCTTTGTTCGATGACGATGCGTATAGTTGCAATTGGATCAGCACATGAGTTGCGTTCCTGAATCCAGCTTGTTCCGCCTGTCAGAGTTCTATATCCAGTACATCCTTTATTATCTCCAGGATGATGCTACTTAGTATTGTACCTGACGTGGACAAGAGCATTATTCCACGCCAGTTCTTGCACGGACCTAATTAAGTTGTCATTCTCCGGCAGTTTGACGAGGCAGCCTTTCTTCCAATCAGTAGGCACCGTTTCTACTTTCCAAACTTCGTGCAGTAATGGGGTGAGAGCATCTGCCCCAATCTCTGGGGTCGTCTTCAGTGCTTCGGGAGGAATGCCGCCTGATCCTGCTGCCTTCCCGGCTGAACTTCAGTAGCTTGATCGCACTCAGGATTTCTTCTTTGGTTGGAGGAGTGGTGTCCACTGGCATTTTCATTTGTGCTGTTGGTGGTATTTCTGGGCGAGTTGCCGGTGGTGGTCGATTCAATAGTCACTTAAAGTGATCAGCCCATTGTTTGATTTGTTTCCCCTCCTTGGTGATCGGGTTTTCTTGAGCATCTTTTATTGGTTTCATCATCTGGGTTGATCTCTTCTCGGATAGATACTTGGTTATCTGATATAGTGTCCTGATGTCTCTTTTGCCAGTATATCATAGGATTGTCGTTTGTCTTTTCTGGCACTCTTCTTCATTTCTTTTTTCAGTGCAGTGTACAATGAACTCAGCTTTGCCTTCTGTTGTCCATGTCTGCATTGAGTAATCTTCTTTTTCACCATCTTCCTCTCCTCGATTAGCTTCCAGGTATCCATCGAGATACATTCCTTGTCTTGTCTCTTCTTTTTCCCTAAAACGGTTGTACACACTTCCTTGAACACCACCTTCAGGGTGTGCCAGTGTCCTTTCAAGCAGGTTTCCTCAGTGATGCCACGAAGTATCTCCGACTTTGCTGTAACATCTGCGGTGAAGGTATCTATTATAGTTTTGTCCTTCAATTTCTGAGGTCTGAACTCGAATTGTGGTCTGTCCTCAATTGTAATGAAGGCTTACAGCTTGACCTTGAAGGTTCCTAGAACTAGATGATTGTCTGAGGCCACATCTGCTCCCCTTCTCGACTTTGTGTTCAGTAGACTGGCTGTGTCACCACTTCCCTGAGCACTACTGGGATTAAATCTATCTGGTCTGTGGTGTGTCCGTCAGGCTAAATCCATGTTGCTTAGTGTATACCAATGTGATTGTACATGCTACCTCCAGTCATCAAATCATTGAAAGCGCAGAAGTCTGAGAAAAGCTCGTCGTTCTAATTCATTTAGCCCAGAGCCTCTCAACCCATGATGAGTTCTCTTCCTGTATTATCTGCTGACAGTTTGGCATTCATATGGCCCATTAGGATTTTGATGTCACCATTTGGGGTGTTGCCAATTACTGTTTGTAGGTGCCGATAAAAACTTCCTTCTCTTGTTCCTCATTGTTTGTAGGTGCGTAGCAATGGACAATTGTAACGTCCCTTCCTTTTGAGTTGAATCTTGCTGTCATGATCCCGGAAGAAATTTATTCCCCATTGCATTACGGCTTTGGCTGCCGCTGGTGACATCATGACAGCCACTCACTGTCTCAGTGTGCTCGTGGTTGTCGTCTTGAAACGGTTGAAGACGAAAGAATTCATAAAGGAATATTTATTAGGGAATTGGTATCTCTGTATAGCCAAATTATGTATACCTTATCTTCAACGCACCATTTGCACAGATCGTCGTGTTGTGGTACTTCTAGACTTCATGTTGTGTTTCATTGTGCTCCTTTTACGTCTCCTTTGTATCTCCACAACGCTGTATCATTTGCCTTCTCTGAAATCAAATGTATTTCCCTGCTATTTGATGTTTTTTAAGCCGACGAACGTCTCTTTATGTACTGTTGATAAATCTTATCAGTAGCACTCGTCACAGTCTGGATGATCAGACCAGAGTAAATTACTGACTCGCTGGTTGGCAATTTTGACAGTCCACATCGATTCCACCTGCTCTCGCAGATTCCCAGCGCTTCTATATCGTATCTTCTCATATCTTTGGCTACCTGGGCAGCCTTTCCAGCTTCGAACACTGTACGTACATTCCACGTTCCCATTCTTATTCTTGCTTTCATGGAAAGAAGACATATCGGCTGGCTGACTGGCTTTCCGAAGGCTTTTACCAGCCCGCTGTGTCATTTCGCCTTTCCGGTTCCAGCGAATAATAAGTTCGTTTTTTATATTTGTTTGTATTTTTAATATTTTTCATGTGTTTTGAAATTTCTCTAGCAGTTTGAGAGCTTTTGTGGTGTAGGGTCGCTAGCCCCACGCCCATCCCTACCTCTTTACCCGGGCTTGAAACCGGTTAGAAAATTAGCGGGCTAGTAAACTAGGCTAAGTTAATTAAACAAAAACAACATCAAATTACTGTACAACTAAGAATGTATTATATATATCCAAAATATTTGTGACTAATCAATGTATTCACATTCGAATAAGCTAGTAAGACCCCGCATACACATAGTGGTTACTTTTAATAATTATGACAATGAAAAATGTGACAGCAGTCAGAGCCAGCAAGTACACATCGGTCAGACTTTATAAAAAAAAACAGACTAACAACAATACCACTTATACCCATTCATTTTTCATTAAGTCAAGACTCTTGAAATTCCAAAAAAATTTATATGAAGATAATATTAAAACACAGATCATCTAATACAAATCACATAATATCGACAATGGTGGTGATGATTTTTAAAAATACAACTCACCCTTAGTTATGTGCAATTTATACCTTTTTTTGAAGTATGTATGTAACAACAATAGAGGCAAAATAACCGTTGAGTATAATAATAAGGTCGTTATTAATTGCGTTAACCACGAGAAGTGACTGTCAACAAACGGAAAGTACTCCTTCATATTAGCCTATCAGTCAATCAATGAAAACGCTATTCACGATACAGCAGACGCAGGAAACCTAATAAATAACAGATTAAAATTATAAAAATGAATGAGGTTTTTAACTTGCAAAGTGACGCCCTAAAATGTATCAACTTACAACATTAAAAGTGAATAAACAACTACACTCACTATAGTAGATCTCTCCAAATGTTCCCACTTCAACGTGTAAGTACAAACTACAACAACTTAAAAAGGGCTTATAATAGGGGGGGTGAAACTAATAATTCTGAAATCCATAGATTTTTTCAGTGACATCATAACAATAAATGCCAAAAAATACAAAAAATTAAATGAAGGGAGAAATTAACAAAGGTCAAAAGACAACAGAATTCTTAAGATATATGAAAAAGCAGGTTCACGAAGTTGAAACTATTAAAACGAAACAATGAGTAAGTGAATTTATACCCTAGTGACTTACCTTATGTGGAGTGGACTGATGAATTCAGCGCTTACCTTTCAACAAAGGAATTCTGACTCAAATCGTACACAACTTATTTCTATCCAGGTGATTAAACAGTAACATAAGCCTTCACACAATAAATGTAGATCATAGTATAGTACATGAAAAATATCTTCTGAATTTAGGCTACATCAGTTGACAACACCACCAAATGTTACTCTCGGTACTCAATGAAGCGTGATTTCGCACAGACGTGCAGTAGTCACATTTCACAACACCAATTAGATATTAAGTGAATAGAAGTAACATAATATCAAAAATACGCAAAGAGCATTACAAGAGAGGGAATAATTCCATTGATTTCAGTGAAAATGTTTATAACTAATAAAATGACGTAGAAAGAGTTCACTTACTGTAATGTGTCGATTTAAACATATAGGGGTGTCAGCCATGTGGCTCACACCGTCCAAAACTTACAGACTCTATAGACAACAGTCAGGTTTTGTTTCACTTACACTACGCATTCCTAAAATTAATTACATTCTATGACTTATTGTAACGTAAAACTTAGTATGTAAGTGAATCAGTTCAAGATAGCACAACTCACCTAAGAGCACATAACGTGGAGGAATGTAACGAAATGACGATTTTTCAGCATGTATGTTCAACAGAAAAATTGAATGAAAACATTAATATATGTGTACAACTTGCGCACTGTGGTAGTAACTACTTCAATAATAGTTTCTTTATTAAATACATCACACAGTGAAACAATATTATTTACTGGATGACGCTTCGAACAAAATTTATTGTTCATAATCATATCAATTATAATCACACGACTTCGAAACTTGAGTTTTATAGCTTTCTCTGTTCTCTCCTATTTGTCGTAGGGGTAGTAGAATTTTCCAGATATCTGAGACAGGTGTTGAATTATTCCTCTTACATGTATTTGCAGCTGATTCGATAAACAAAGATTCTGTTATCAATCTCTCCCTCCACCCTGTGACATTAGACTTTAAAACTGTCGTCTTATCCCATCCTATTGTATGGTTGCGTGTCATTGCATGTTGTGCTATAGCTGAACTATTCTCTGGATTTCTTATCTTATTCAGGTCAACTAGACTAGATTTTGCTAGGTTTTGTGCTCCGCTAGTCTGACTGCACCTGTTCTACTATTGTGATCTATGTATTTGACCTGAAAATCATCGCAGGGTGTTAGATAAACTAAATTGTTTTATTTTAAAGGCTCCACAGGATCCTTTAACCAACAAAGCTTGTTTCTAATTGAGTTTGTGGTTTCGAATGCCACTTTTATTCCTGCCTTGTTAAGAATTCAGCGTAAGGTTCCCGAGGTTCCTTCCTTGTATGGAATTACTACTGATGATTTAGATTCCTAATTGTTGGTGTCGTCATTATTATTATTATCACTATTATTATTATCATCATTATTATCGTTATCATTATTATTGTTATTATCACTATCGCTACTATCACTATTTATTTTACCTTTACATTTCCCTACATACTTCCTGACTAATTTATCAGGGTAATTATTAAGTTTAAAAGCTTCTCTTATATGTCTCACTTCCTGTCTTACATTTTTCTTGGTACTACTTAGTTTTCGTGCTCTACTACTTAAACATTTCACCAATCCTATTTTCACTGACATAGGATGGGATGATCGGAAGTTCAAATATCTGTTTCCTGTAAACAATAGTGTTTAACTTCCCATCTTTTTTCCTTTTTACGCTACAATCTAACATTGGAAGTTCCCCTTCCTGACTTTCCAATTCATGAGTGAATTGAATTGCCTCCACCTTTGAGGCAATCTGTCTATATCCTGTGTTCTAAGTACAGTGAATGTGTCATCTACATACTTCCACCATACTTTTGGGGTGGGGCTGAACGTTTCAATCGCTATGTTTTCCAACCTATCCATGAATGTATCTGCTACAACCGGGGATATTGGTGACCCCATGGCAACTCCCTCAGTTTTTTGTATATTTTCCCTTGGAATTTAAATCCTGTGGAAGTCAGGCATAGCTGCACTCCCAGCATTATGTCCTCAAGTGGCACTTTTGTCCTAAGTTCGAGTTCTTGGTCAGAAATGACTTCGCCTCTATAGCCATATTCATTGGTATACGTGTAGGACTTAATATTTGTGCTGAGAGATTGATTACTCGCTTTGTTTTATCGATCGCCGTTGACTTCAGATTGCTCATTTCATCGTTCTGAGATGAAGATTTCTCTTCTAATAATTTATTGAACTTTTTGATTTGATTAAACAAAGCGAGTAATCAATCTCTCAGCACAAATATTAAGTCCTACACGTATACCAATGAATATGGCTATAGAGGCGAAGTCATTTCTGACCAAGAACTCGAACTTAGGACAAAAGTGCCACTTGAGGACATAATGCTGGGAGTGCAGCTATGCCTGACTTCCACAGGATTTAAATTCCAAGGGAAAATATACAAAAAACTGAGGGAGTTGCCATGGGGTCACCAATATCCCCGGTTGTAGCAGATACATTCATGGATAGGTTGGAAAACATAGCGATTGAAACGTTCAGCCCCACCCCAAAAGTATGGTGGAAGTATGTAGATGACACATTCACTGTACTTAGAACACAGGATATAGACAGATTGCCTCAAAGGTGGAGGCAATTCAATTCACTCATGAATTGGAAAGTCAGGAAGGGGAACTTCCAATGTTAGATTGTAGCGTAAAAAGGAAAAAAGATGGGAAGTTAAACACTATTGTTTACAGGAAACAGATATTTGAACTTCCGATCATCCCATCCTATGTCAGTGAAAATAGGATTGGTGAAATGTTTAAGTAGTAGAGCACGAAAACTAAGTAGTACCAAGGAAAATGTAAGACAGGAAGTGAGGCATATAAGAGAAGCTTTGAAACTTAATAATTACCCTGATAAATTAGTCAGGAAGTATGTAGGGAAATGTAAAGGTAAAATAAATAGTGATAGTAGGGGTAGTGATAATAATAATAATAATAATCATAATTATTATAATAATAGTAATATTAATGACGACATGCATGTCAAACATCCGCAGGATAATGACAACACCAATAGTAATGAATCTAAATCATCAGTAGTAATTCCATACAAGGAAGGAACCTCGGAAACCTGGAGAGTAGTTTATCAGAATCTGCAAAGTGGATGTGCAGTGGATATATGTGCACCATTGAAAAGGATTTCAGTGTCATATGCGAAAGACTATCTAACTGTCGATTTTTAGCGTCCTGAGAACTCCAACAAGCCAATCCACGCTTCCCTACCTAATCCAGATCAGAAGTGGACAACTTCACAGTTAGGTACCATGTTTCTGTCTGACCACATCGAACGCTGCCCGAACTAATAGTACTTCACGGAGTATTTCACATCTAAGAAGGTAGTAGACTGTCATTCGTAAAATATATGCAAGACACCATTATCCATGAAGCCTTGCAACCTCATCGACTCCCTATACGCCTCATTCCACTATTACCTATCATGATGCTCTACTTAACACAAGCAACTCAACTAAGCTACCTGTCATGGAAACATCTAATCTCTTTTCATCTTCTACTTCGGGCAGCAACTTCTCACAGCCCTACAGTGGGATGTGGGGAACAACTGCACGGTACACACTATTTAATTGGGTAACTAATTATCATGTGTGCATCGAAGCTGATATGAGCTTACAGATGCAGAACTAGGCTTTCGATTTAGTAGTGAAATTCGGGCTTCCGAAACAATAAAAGTGTTCAATACATTCTGGTATTTCACTGGCTGTCTATAAATTCGGACTCGGTGCAGACCATTCCTGTAGGAATATGACAACCACACTGGAATGCTTGCTCATGTTTCCAGAAGGCTCTATGTTTTGTCATCGTTCTCCCTTGAAATGATTATATCGTATGAGTAGTGTAAATGAGTATACTCATTTATGTAGTGTTTATCGTTTTGTTAAGAGCGTCCTTCTACTGTAATTTTTTTTTAGGACGAATGGAAATCGTTTCCAAATTTGATGATAACACTACAGTTCTATAAATTTTGTGTTCAGGAGGACCTATATCCTGTCAGCATTTTCCCTTGAAATGACTACATTCTGTGTATTGTGTAAAACTAGTTCTCATCAAGGTAAAAAGTATACCCGTGGGACATCAAAACTGATTTGTAGTCATATATATCATTGCATCTATAATAAAATTAGACAAAATCAACGACACTTGGCATCCTTAATGGGCAGAATTTATCACTACTTCGGAGAAAAACTGCATAAAGTTCAATTTAACCTATTAAATCGGAAATTTGGAAAACTAATCTCTGTAAGTTCCTGTATGACTGTATGAGTAAGACTGGACAACCTCTTTACCAGGTATTTCGGGACATTATACCTCGATCGACAAACTTAGGTTGCACCATCAGAATAATAAATATGGCGAGTTTCTGATACTAAATTACCACAAAACCACGTCCCGCAGGTGGGTATATATATTTAAGCTCTTATGCTTTTTATCATTGTTGGTCGTCATGGGTTCCTAAAGACCAGAGAACCAGTTACAAACAACCTGTGTGGAAGGTTGGATTTGAAATGCTTTGTCCATGTGGATGAGCTTACTGCCAGCTACAGGCCGTTGTGGGGTAAGGCATACCCTACAACTTTTGGAGCTGAACTTCTTTAACCTCAGTACACCAGAGTCGAAAGGCCCCACAACTAGTCTGCTGGCTGCTAGAAGAAAACACCGAATCGCTACTGTTCTCTGGCTCTTTAACACTACGACTTCACCTAAAGACCTACACACTATAGTATGAAACATGCAGTACGGTGTTAGCCACTCCTAGACTAACCTCCATTAATCCTACCTCCCTGAATTGACAGAACCTACAACGAAATCGTTTTCAAGCAGCATAGGTCGCTGGATCATTGCAATAAACAGATCTAACCACGATGGCAACCGTAGCAACTATCATTTGAGCCGGTGAGATGTAACTCAACATACGTGGTTATCTTGGTTACTAGCAGCTTGACTGCAGACGCCAACACATCAGTATATGCTTAACGGGTAAATTAACTTATTTAATGCTTCATCCAACACAAACGACGCTTAGAAGACTACTACAACCAGATATGGCTAGTTCCGAGTTCAAAAATAACACATTGATTCGAGGTGTATTTTAAAAAGCATATCTGAAATAACATCAACATTTCTTTTATGTAAGTAGTCGGAAAAACTGTATAATTCATTATATGAGGACCACAAAACTTACTTGTTAGTAAGCAGGCTAGATTTTGTGATATTCCCGTAAACCCATTTACTTTTTGCCACCAGTCTACAAAGGAAAGGAAATAAAATCGCATCATTAAAAGTTATAAAGAGAGGTATAATGTCAAACGGCCATAGCAAAGTGAAACAATTTCAGGAGTGATTGGAATTATTCATGACTGAGATATATGTACACCTGGTCAACTAATGGCTTCTGTTGTCAGATATTGGAAGAATGTGGGTGATAACCGCACTGTTTATGGTAAAACGTTTGCCAAAACTCAAACTCTATTTTGATTTGTCGTCACCTGACGAACAAATTTTTGGCACAAAAGTATGCCCCAATCTCCTATAGGTGATGCCTTTTGACAGAATAAACCAGTTTACACGCATAAATTCACTCTCAAGAGTCAACATTATGCCTGCAGGCATGGTCATTGCCTATTCTTAATACTTGCTGCATACTCAATGTACGCCAACTAATATCAATTTAGAGAACACTGAAGATATTTCTTGGGATTTTACGTTTATTTTACAACGTTCAGCTTTTTTTCCTTTCAAAAGAGGTAACAAGCTGAATAAGAAATGAGTCATATTCAAAAAATAAAAAGAACCATAAGATTAAAGTAGGATTCCAAGACCTTTGACAATTACGGAGAAATAAAATCTGTAACCTTATGTATGATCAATGTTTTCTGCCTGATGCAGATATATCTGCATTGGGCAGGTTTTTACTAGCTGGGATGTTTCACCTTTTTACTGTATGATTGAAAAATATACACGAGGATAGGGTGTTGATCCATGCATTTAGTTCAAAGACTTCGGAATGCAGTACCTTGATAACAATGTCTTTCAATTATACTACTCTTAAAACTTTAGTGATATTTACAAACACTATGGTAAGTTGAGACACCATATATGCTTATTTGAACAACCAGTATATACATTGATCAAACTTAAAACTTCAGTCAACTTGAAACACAACACTTACGACAGTTACAGTTACATGTGCTAGGCCCGACAACCTTGAGAGTTGTATGTGTGACTTGACCTAATAATTTCAAAATAGGTGATTAGAATAACATAAAAATCACTAAAGAATGGTGACATTTGACATTATTCTAGAAGTTAGTGAAGGAAATTAAAGCGAATTATCTATAGAATTCTCATAGATGACTAATGAAAACACAGTAGTAGCCAGAGCTCAATGTCTATGATGAGATAGTGAGAAATGTTGATTTTCTGATGCAGACTTTTCAGTATTGTGGAAGAATGATAACACACTGGTGGTTATTAGGAGTAAAAATCTGTACCCTTATCTAATATCGTTCTGCAGACAACTATAGGAGGATGGGTAGTCTTTATATTTAGGGGAAAGATTTTGTTAAGATTTAGATTTATTGGTTGAGGATAGAAGGCTTGGAGCTATGTTAATCCTTTTCTAGTAAATTTCTGTGGTTGTCCAGACTCTTTTGGAATGATTCAGTTGAATCTGCAGGCACCACTTCTTTTGTGAGTCGGTTCCAAGAGTTCATGACTCGGTGTGAGAAACAGTACTCAACAGAAATATGATTTCTTCTTCACTTTTGAATTCTCCTGCTATGGCCTCTGAGATGTCCCTACCCAGTGGGAAGGAAAAGATAGAATAGGTCAGGTCCGTAGTAATTATTTAAAATTTTAAACGTTCTAATTAAATCTCCTCTCTGCCTACGGTGGGACAGGGAGAAGAGATTTAAACTGTCTAGTCTTTTCTCATATGATAAGCCAGTCATGCCGAGAATTTTACATGTTGCCTTCCTTTGGGCCCTTTCTAGAATGTGTGAGTCCCCCTTAAGATAAGGACTGGCTGCCTGGATACAGTCTTCTAGTCTTGACCTCACCAGGGATGTATATAAGGAGTTAAATATATATTTGATGATTCTAAGAAAGACTCTGAGAATCGCCCATAAGGATCTGAAACTACGTACAGCCACCGTGCGACAGTGTGCTGTAGTTGTTAAACCGTGACTAATTATGACACTTAAATCCAGATGAGTCTGAACTGATGGGAGTGTTATTCCCTCTAGTCTGTAGGAGCTGATGCCTGCATGTCCGGTGCGCATGGTTGCACATTTTGCTACATTGATCGGGAGCATGCATTCTCTGGACCACTCTGACATTTTTTTTGTCGCTAGTGTATCACTGTCGCCCTTCAACTCTCTCCAAATTTTTAAGTCATCTGAGTCCAGGACCATAAGGGAATCGGTGAGCAGAGATAACTCATTGATACACAGATAAGCAAGGGGTTTCGAGTACCGTGCCTTGTGGCACTCTGCTACGCACTGCTATTCAGGAGGAGAGTTTCAAGTTGATCCTAACCATCTGCCTCCTATCTGTTAGGAGTTCCTTAATCCAGATTAGTAGGCCGCCCTTGATTCCAAGACTTTCCAGCTTCATGAGCAGTCTCGTGAGGAACTTTGTCGAAGGCTTTGCTGAAGTTTATGAAGACGACGTCGACAGGTCTTCTGTTGTCCTCTGATTTGACAGGAATGAGAGGTCCCCTTGGAAGCCATACCGTGCTCTTGATAACAAATTATTGTTTTCCAGATATTCCATGATGCTTTTCTTGATGATTCTTTCCAGTGTTTTGATTAAAGTGCTAAAGACTAATAGACCTATAATTTGAAGGGCTTGGCCAATGTAATTGCTGGGATGGAAAGTCTTTGCTTCTTCAGACAGTCCTCAAATCCAGTCAAAAGCGAGATGATGAAATCACAGTGTAATAGAAAGCATGAGCGAAAAATATAGGAAATAAATACATAAGACAAACCATGTGCACTGTTTGAATAAGAAGTTAAATTTTCCACATTCTGGACACATTTCTGTTTTTGCTGTGTTCACCACACCTGAAACCTGTTCAAACACCTTGACTTGATGTCTCTCGGCTAAAGTTGGTATTTTGATAAATTTGTGTAAGCCCTGCAGCGTTGATGTGTACACAACTTTTTCAATGTTTCGTATTCACGGTAATCTTTGCATTTTATGTGCAGTCGACCTAACTGCTAATTTCTTACAAAAAAGCGTTTAGTTTGATGGGTACACCACAAAGCACCACATGCGTAATGGATTGAATCCTATAGCCCATAAACGGTGATGAAAAACATCACGTTCGGTGATGAGGACATGAGACCTAAAGCCATGAATCTGGCCGAGGATGTGAGTTGGACTAGACCACCTTATGATTATTACTATTATTACTGTTTCCTTTAGTTCCTAGATGAACATACGGCTTCAGCCACACATCTGGATTGTGTTCGGTCCTCCATCAACGTTTTCAGTTGGCTTCACGTCTGCGTGCATGCCTTCATCTTCTCTTCGCATGACCTCCTCCATGTCACCCTCGCACTGACGACCGGCTCGCCGCTTCCCATTCGGATTCCACTCGACAGAGAGAAAGTCTGGCGTGTGATGTCGCTTGGTGGTTTGTTTTCTTAGAGTATGACCAATCCACCTCCATTCCTTACAGCATATTTGTTGCACAATTGGTTCCTGCTAGGTTGGTTCGCTCCCAGATATCCCTCTCTACTGCAGATGTTTTCTGGTCATCTGACTTGAGTAGTATTAAGCGGAGACAACTGTCGATGAAAGTCTGCAGTCTGTTCGAAGCACCCTTCATGACGCGCCACGTCTTATTTATAAAATAGCACTAAATTCAAACTGAAGTTGAAAATCCGGATCTTATTTTTAATGCTGAGTGCCGTTAATCTTCACACAGACTTGAGAGAAATAAATGCTTGCCTTGCTTTACGCGGTACGTTCAAAGTTTTCGTTACATTTTTGCGTGATTCTATACATAAAATTTGTCTTGTTGCAATCCCTACAGAAGTACTTTACTACTTCTATATCTATTAACTCTCATATCAAATAGTTATGGTTAATCAAAGTAGAAAGCAACGAACCCAATCCCTTGTAAATCTGGTGACTAATTTTATGTCTTTGGTTGCTTCATCAACCAACACACTCCCTAAAATAGGTTATAGCGAGCCAAATAATTCACTTATTTGCCGTAAGCGTCGAGCTGGAATTAAGAATAAAACTGTACTGACAGCTAGTATTAGCACTACTCCTAAAAATTCAGTACCCTCTGTTCATACAGAACCCCTCCCTACACCTTATGTGCTTATCAAAACACTCCAGCCACCAATCTGTGTTTCAGTACTATCTTCAGAAGTAGAACTTCCAAAGTCGTCTATAGGAGAACTTAAGGCTGAACTAAGGGAAATAAAATTGCTGTAAGTCAGTAAATGCTGGGATTTCTGAAATCAATACCAAAATATCCAAATTATCAGATCACATCAGTGATATCAGACCGCAGGTCTGTGAACTGACACCTCTAACTATCCTCATGAAAACTGTAAACCTTAACAAACTTGACACAAAATCGGAAACTAAGGTAGATAACCTCAATAACTTTGTTACTACCGAAGTAACAAAACGACTCGACGCTAAACTAAGTGCTATTGTCTACAATATTCTGGACAATGAGGCACTAAAAAAGGCACAGCGCATCTTACTTAGCGAGGCGAAAATGCATAACTCCAAGACTAAGTGCTGTAGGCTGAAGAAGAGTCAAAGTGAAAAAGTGTTGTCCTATTCGTTTTCAGTTCGAAACACCAGCAGAGACCAGAAAGTTCATCCACTCCCACCACACTCTATCGCAAGCCAGAAACTACAAACCAATAAAGGTTGTGGGGTGGACAAGACAGTCATAGAAAGGCGTGCATATAATTATCTCACTAACCCTAATTGTGGAATGAATAACAGGACATTGCAAGCAGCCATTTTATACAACATTTTGAGAGATACTGTAGAACTCACCGCACCACCCCTCTCAAACAACACAGAATTATCCCCTCAGAGTGCAACACTAACCGAAAAGCCACTAGATTGTAATCAAATAACTAATAAAACCATACCATCAATCACCGTAGATTTAGACATGTCACTAACAATCTCCAGAAAAAAGTCAAAGCCCCTCGAAAGTCGACATTATCCTCTCCTTGACATAATTCCATTGGTAAAGAGCAAATAGTTGACAAACCTATTCAAAATATGTCGTTGGCACCGAAAAATCAAATTCACTTACCAAATGCTTCTCAGAAAAATGTACACGATAAGGAAAATAAGAGCCCAAATCATGCCAAGAATAACAATGGCAGTATAAATAAGCCCACACTTCCCACGGCCGATAGTATTAGCACTCACAACGTGTGAAATCGCACCATGTCACGCACTAATAACCAACGTCACAACAATGGCACCCTCAGTAGTACATGTGGCAATAGTCAGAACTCGGCTACCAACAACTCAGGGTCTTCAGACTATGGCACAGAAACAAATTTTGATTGGATATATGGTACAAGTCTGCTGGGAACCAACCCACAATGCAGGGCGCACGAAACCCATACAAGGACACAACTAGTATCAAACAATAGGTGGAATAATAAACCATGGTCATCACAAGGTCCTAATCAACTTTTATCAGCTGCATCCCTGTGATCGTTGAAAACACAGCTGGTAGGCATGTTAACACTACTAAACCACTAGTGCCAGCTCCCCCCTTGCATGAATACAGGAACAGTCTAGTGCACCCACACCCATTAACCACATTTGATACATGCACAAGTTTAGGTCAAATAATGATCCCTACCACGTTTCTAGCTTAACTAAAAGTAAAAAATGTCTTAGCCTATAGCAAATCCAGTACTCCAACGCCTAATTCTTCACCGAAAACAGCACATACCAACTCGATAGACATAGGTGAGCATGATGCTGAAACTCCTCTTAACATAGGGTCGTCATGTCAAGCAGAACTACTGGGTGCTGAACCATATTCGGGGCTGATTAACGAGCTTAAATACTTCAAACGCCATTTCAAATCTCATCTTCACCTAATCCTCATAAATGCTAGATCTGTTCTAAGTAAACTACCGATGCTCAGAGCACTCACAGTAATATACAAATCCCCTATAATTGTCATCACTGAATCTTGGTGTAATT